TCTCATGCGGTTCATCTTTCAAAGTCTTTGAAAGTGTATTCTCCACCATTATACACTTTAAGGGCAACCTTGTCATCATTTTCATCATGGCATAGAATTTTTGAAAATACTGTAATACTTAGCTTTTGTTTTTCAATATGTACACCTAAGTTTTACGTGAAACATCATGAATAAAAGGAACAAAATACCTACTATGACCTCATGACTTAACCTCAATGGGATCACATATATCAGAATGAATCAATTTGAAATTGTTTTTTCTTTGAAATGCTTACGAAAAGAAACTTTACGATGCTTGCCAAACAAATAAAGATCTTATGAATTAAGAGACATACCTTTAGTCAAGAAAATAAGAAACTGTTTTGTTAAAACCTGTAACCTTTTTTCGCATATATATGCTAGCATCTTATACCACAAGTTTGCTAAAATATGATCTACACGGCATTTATCTAGTTGCCATTCAATTGCATCTATGTCTTGTATATTGTGCAGCATAGTTTTCCTCTTGGCACTATCATAGATCTTTTGAGAAGCTTCTATTGCTCATTCTTTTATCGACTCTCATATCTTTCCTTATCGAGGACATTAATTGCAAGCAAGTTCATTCTTTATTCAAAATGTATCTAACAACCCTCAAAGTCAACATATAGCTTGTACTAGTTTGTACAATAATATCACTAATCCCAACAATCTATGATACACTCTTGTTTCTCGTCTTGGTCTAATTAAAGTCTCTTGTTTTGTAAGTTGTAAACAACTTCCTCTTAGAAACACAATGATATGCCATTCTTATGTCAACTATCCACTCAATGTCAAGATCACTAACATGATTACAATAACTAGGTGTACAAATCGAAGTAACTGAATCACTATCTGAATTTACTCTTATAATATTGTCATCATTTGAACTCTTGCCTTTTTCATCTTTTCACTCTTGCTTTAAGATTTTGCAGTATCGTTCTATATGACTTGGTTTACCAGTATTGTTCTATATGACTTGGTTTACCACAATAGTATTACTTTACTTTATCTCTAGACTTGAATCTATGTTTAGACTTATTATAACCTTTTGAGTTTTGAACTTTGTCAATGTTTTTACCCATGTTCTTTGTGACAAAGAGCTTAATTTTCAGAGTTTAAATCTTTTCACCCAGCATCTTCATTAAGCATACTGTCCTTTATCATTTCCAATGTGAGCTTATAATCAAGAGCTGAATTAAGAATAGTTACAACTAAAGTATTCCAACTGTCTGACAATGAACCTAAAAAGAATAATGCTTTCATTTCATTATCCATTTTAAACTTCATAGTAGTCATCTGATTGAATATATCTTAAAAATCACTCAAGTGCTCTATAATTGATCATCCATCATTATACTGTAAAGTTGTAAACTTTTTAACAAGTATAACTTTATTCTTGCCTGTTTTTCTCTCATAAAATGTTGCCAATTTTTTTCAAATAGTATGGGCATCTGTCTCTTGTGATACATGATAGAACATATTGATATCAACCCATTTTTTAATTATGGCTAGCATCTATTTGTCTAGCTTCTTTCAGTTTTCAATTTTCACTTTTTGTATCTGCTGGCTTAGCTAAATCACCCAATATCGATTCATATAAATTTTTGTAATATAAATGATCCTCCATCTTAGGTTTTCAAATTGAATAATTTCATATTATCAATTTTATCATATAATCTGTATCACTTTTTATGATCTCAAATAGAATTTACTTCTGTTCTGGGTTACTTCTATATTGATGTCTAAAAATAATTATCACTCTGATATCACTTATTGAGCCTGAAGCAACAAACACAAAATCACAAAAGTAATATATTGCAATAAATCTATAGCAATAGACAACAATCAACAATCAACAATGTAGAAAAAATAAAAGCACACCAAGATTTACGTGAAAAGCTTTCTAATGTAGAGGAAAAAAATCATGGATCACCAGAAAAATTTTCACTATCAAATAATAGATATACAAAATTCTTCTCTAGCTAAAAGTAAAGCTAATCAATAATTAGAGAGACAATTGAAGAAATCTCATCAAATAGGTGACTAAATAAATACACTTTAGATTTGTTCTTAGAGAGTTTTAAACATTATCTCCACCATTCAGAATGTAGAATATTGATTTATGAACCTATTGATAAAATTTTAACTTAATCGAACTATAAATTGACTTCCGTTCAATTAACTCTCCCCTTCTCCTTTTTCTCTCCATCTTTTTTTATTTCTTTTTCCCTTTTCAGCGCCACAATCTTTCGCGCATTAAAATAGCCTTCACACTCTTTTAATATGCTAGGCTCTTTATTTCTGTTAGAATAAAAGGCTTTGGTCCTTTTAATTGGTGGATATAATTAGGGTTGGCAACGGGTCGGATTAGGATGGGTTCTTGCTCACCCCAAACTCGACCCGATCTTTTTATCCATCAAACTCGAACCCGACTCGATTCAAAATTTTTTTTATTTTTTTCATATCCGACCCCGACTTGACCCGATATTTGTATAAATCGTACCTAACTTGACCCGAAATTAATAAAATATTATTTTTTAAAATATAAATATTTAAATATATAATTATATAAATATATATAAAAAATTAAATAAATAATTAAAAAATTAATTTTTATATAAATATTAGATCGGATCGGGTTTACTTAAAACCCCGAATCCGACCCGACCCGAAATCTTATTTTCAAAAAAAAAAAAAACCCAATCTTAGAGGGTCAGGTTGGGAGGGAACCCGTCGAAGACAAATTGGGTTGCTGACCTTAGATATAATTAGATTAAACCCCACATTCCTAGCATAATTGTTTTTAAAATAATTTTTTTTACACATCAAAGCTATATTTCTTTTTCCTTGTTATTTCTATTTCTTTTAAATTTTCGAACACTTACCGTACCAAGCTGGAAAAACTATTTTTTATGTGGTAGAAACTAGAAAGTGAAATTACATGAACCTTCGATTGACATTAAAAGATTTTTTTTACGTAGTCAAACCAGCAGAGTTATGTTGTACGTTAAACTTTCTTCGAAACGAGTCTTTTTAAAGTTTAATTGGACCTAAAATTCAGGCAAAAGATTTAGAAACATCTAAAAGGTTGCTGTTGGTTTTTCCATGATCTAGCTGGCTGAATTCCGGTATTTTATTGTTGATAATAGGCAGTTGACTAGATGAGAAAATGGTCAAATTTCAAATTTGAAATGCATGAATTAGCTGCATATTGTTTCTAATAAGAAAATATTCAGCAATTTTTGCTTAAATAACTATGTTTAAAATTTGGCCATTAATAGAAAATGTTAAAATTAAAAAATCAAAATTCAGAAATTATAATAGAAATTTGGATATCCAATCACAACGCCACTACAACTTCACGAATCAAAAGTGTGAGCTTAATCTATTTATTATGGAGAATTAATATTTAAATATTTTGGGTATATGAGACAAGAAAAAAAATTTTGTGTTTAAATGATGAGAAGGCTCCAATTATACTAAAAGCAAATATTAGTGTTTTAACATCATATTTTTTTTATCACCCTAGTATAAATAATTTTGTTCACAACTGCATATCATCTAGGAAAGCTCAAGTTTTTACGTGAAAGAGAAGTTTATAAACCTTAAGACATATCTTTTGGGATCCCGTATTGGATAGAATTTATATATATTTTTACAAAATTTTAACATACACTTACTTTTTTATTTTGATTTTTTAATTTGAAGAGATATTACGTTTTTAAATTCTCTAAAACTTGTAATTTTTGAAAATCAGCTCAATATACATGTTATTTGAACTAATACTTAACATTGGAATTTTATATCTGAATTTATACACTTAATTTGTGTACTAAGGGCTAAGGTCTTCTAATTATAGGTCCTTTATAGATTCCTTGCTTATCAAGTCAAATTGTGGAATATAGATCTTGTTTTCAAGGTTGAATAAATGAAGTCCATAATATTTTATTAATTCATTAATTACAGGAATTTAATACATCGTAGCATATGTGTACTCAATAAAAGAAATTAAAACCAACGATCCCATTGATACAAAAGTACAAAACCAACGACAACATGCGAAAACAATGAAAATTTCCATCACCAAAATGAAACATTGAAGAGAGAGTTTTTCATTGATAGTATTATTTATGCATCTCAAAAGGAACTGAAAGTGAATTAACAATCTTACAGAGCTCCGTTCTTGGACCATACATTGAGCCAACAACGCATCTCAATAGGAGCCCAGTGGTGGAGTAAGGAACTAAGTTTTTTTTTTATTCATACAAGGAGAGAGAAGGGACGAGTAGGGATTCAAAACCTAAGTTGTTAATTAAAAAATTAACTTTTATGGTAATATGGTTGGGGATATTGTTTGAGCTTAATATTTTTTCCAAACAATTTTAAAGGAATATGGCATGCTACCATATCAATGTGGTGCATGTATAATTTTATTTTCGAAATGCTATTTACAAGAGTCAAACCTGATTGACAAGAATAAGAAACTAAGTTTAGTTTAAAGTGCTCTTTGCACATTATAAGTCCTCATTGTTCAACATATACCATGATCAAGATATTTAGAAAACTGCCATAGTCTAATAATTTAATGGACCAATTCCGTTGTCTGGAATAACTTCTCACAGCACATAATTATTAACTTACCAAGCAAATAAAAACAGGGTACATGATAAACAAAGACGATTGATAAATTCTGTCATTGAATAGCGCATGTTTGTGAATTTTCCATTGTCTGGAACTTCTCACAACACAAAATTATTAACTAACAAAACAAACAGAAATAGGGTACATGACAAACAAAGAAGATTCACAAATTCTATCATTTCCTTCACACACCTTTGGGATGAAGATTCAAAAGTACATACACACGTACATATCAATTTAAAGTCTATTGATGAACATGGTATGATCCCAGCTGAAATTTGTATAAATAACTTACCTTATCAGGTCTACAATCATGACAAAAAGGAATTGTTTGGAGATTACCTGGGGCTGGGAGCTGCATGTGAGTCAACACCACCCGAAGGGGCGTTTGAAGGTGAGTGGCAGGATGTTATTATTAGATTGGTGGTCTGCATCGTCTGAGGGTTTTTAGGGGCCATCTGATCTGGAGCCAAACAATCCTTAAGTTCTGCCAACACGTGACTGATATCTGGCCTTTTGTTTGAAGTTGGCTGTGTACATGCCATCCCTATCTCCACAGCTTTCCAGACAGCATTGGTGTTGAATTCGCCTTTCAACTTAGGATCAACGATGCTCTGAATGTCGCCTCTTTCGATTGCCGGAGTCACCCATTGAAGTATGTGAATGTTGTATTCTGAACCTCTTAGTACTGCTGACTGGCCAGTGATAAGCTCAAACAGAATTATCCCAAAACTGTAAATGTCACTTCTTCTATTTAGGTTTCCTGACTTGTGAAATCTATATGCAAAACACAAATGACTTTTGTCAATGAGACATTTACTAGGAAAAATTAGAAAAATAGAAGTATAAAATAATGGACTATAGCTTGAAAATATTTATAATAATTCTCAAAATGGATATTTAATGGTACAAGG